CGGGGAGAGGGGGCGGCCGGCCGGGCGGCGTCGCGGCGGCCGGGGCCGTGGCCGGGGCGTGTCGGCCGCGCCGGCGGCGAGTGGAGGGGGGGTGCGGCGCGTGTGGCTTGGTGGAGCAGGCGCGGGCGGGGGCCAGCGTGCGACGCAACGCGGCGGGGCCCTTATACAATAGGATATCGGGTTTTGTGACAGGATCATGTTGAAAAGCGGTGACTCGATCCGCTGTGCCGCGATGGTTCGTTGTGAAAGACCTGGATTCCTCCAACATTCAAACCCAGCCTCCGGCTGCACCGCCCTGCGCGTCCCTCACACGCCGCCGTCGCCGCCACCCGTGCTGCCTTTCAGGGTCGCTCCCGGAGGACGGCCCCTGCGCCGGCGGCTGCGACGCGTGCGACCGAGCGCGCGTCGCGGGCGGCGGCGTGGCGGAGCGCGACATGACTAAGGAGGCACGGCTGCTGCTGGCCGGCATTGACGCGCTCAAGGTGTGCTGGCGACAAACACCGCAGAAATAGGACGGAAGGGAACAAGGAAAGAAAGAAACAGAGCGCGAACAAGAGGGGTGATTTCCACCCCCATGGAGGGGCGCCAAGGGTCCCAGGCTGCACTGCGGGTCACGGGTGTGGGCCGCGACCGCCGGCGCCTTGACGAACAGAGCTCCTGCATGAGGCCCGCACCCTCGCTCCACTCACCAGCGGCACCCCTCTTGCCTCCTCCCTATCCAAGTTTTACCCACCAAACCGCAACCCCACACACCAAAATCCTCCCCTTATCCCAAAACCCCCCACCCCTCACCCCAGGCCTACGGCCTGTCCAAAGTTGTCGCACTGCTGCGCGGCTCAAAGAGCAAGGTGCGGCGGCCACCAGCCTGCCGGCCCCCGCCCACCCCGCGCCCGCCACACGCATGCGCACACCTGCACGGCACAGCGCGGGCCCCGCGTGCTCGCAGGCAGGCGCATGGTAGGAGGAGCGGGCGCAGACTGGCCGCCTTCAACAAAGAACACCGCAGCCCGTGCAAAGCCATCGTGTTCGTGCCGCCCATTTGCCTGGCAGCCCTGGCCCTCGCCTCTGAGCGAAAGCCCCCACCCCCCTGTCTCGGCTTCCCTAGGACATCGCGCCCTGGATGATGCAGAAGACCGCGCCAGACGGCACCCTGCTCCACGGCTCCGGCCAGGGCCGCAGCGAGGCGTGGTGGAAGGGGCTGCACGGGCTGCTGGTGGGGCGGGGCATGATAGAGCTCAAGAGCATGCAGGTGGGTGCACGGGGCCCGCGGGGCGCGGCACGCGCGGCCAGGGCTGGTCTCTGGTATCGCGGCGCTGGGGTTGGACTCACAAACGGCGGATCTCATGAATCTGCGTTTGGTGGGCACAGGGTTTGAGGCGGTCAAGGAGGTTTGGTTGCAGAGCTGGGATAGGGATAGAAGGGTGGAGCGAAGAGATTGGATGCGGTGTAGCACCGAGCGGCTGCCCGGCACCTCAAAACCGCCACCTCCCCCCGCCGCAGACGTGTCTGTCCATAACCAGTAGTGCTGCCGAACACCAGCTCCGCCTCCTGTATCACTTTGTCCCCCCTTCACACACTCAACACACACACACAACACACAACCACACACATACACACACACACACACACCACAACCACACACTGTCCCACTCCGCCCCAGGGCCCCCGCGGCAGCTACACAGTCAGCGCGGCCGCCCGCGCCGGCATCGACTTCCTCCAAGCCCGCGGCCAGTGGTCTGCCGCCGGCGCCTCCCAGGGCACGCAGCCCACACAGGGCACCCAGACCTCTGCAGACGCTGACTCAGCCGCCGCCGCCGCAGCAGCAGCAGCAGCAGCCGCCGGCCCGAGGCTCATGCTGCGGCTGCCGCCGTCGATGGACGAGGAGGACGCGGCCGCGGCCGCGGCGGCGGCGGCGGAGCGGGAGCGGCAGCGGCAGCGCGCGGAGGCGCGCGCGGCGGCAGACGGCGTGGCGGCGGAGCGGGAGGAGCTGGTGGGTGGCCGAGGGCGCCCCGGCGCTTTTTTTCGCGCCCTGCTGTGTCCCAACCGCAGGGCTGCCAATATCCCTGCCACAGCTGTCTGGTGGTCCTCTCGGCGGTCGGCAAAGCGCCCTGCCCTGCACCACGCTGCGTCTGTTGTTGAAGCCGGCGCTGCCCACAACTCCCCCAACTTCGACCCCGCCAAGCCGCCCATCCTGCAAGCCCAACACCGTCTCCACCACGGCTCTCCTGCTACGCCCCGGTTCTCTCCAACAGGTTGAGGCCCTCAGGGCTGAGCGCAAGCGCGTCGCTGACGGCCTGGGCCAGGTGGGCTCACAAACCAATTCGTCGCGGCCATCACGCAGCCTGCAGTCGACCACGCGCACCCTCCTGCCAGCCGTCGTGTGCCTGCTGCCTCTGCTCCGCCGAAGACCGCCGATCAACTCTCCCGCACCCATCCCCCCCCAACAGCCTGCTGCTCCTCCCATCCCCCACATACTCCTGCTCCGGCGCACAAACTGCTCCCAATCCACACCAACCGACACCAACCAGGCCCAATCAACACAACCAAATCCAACCGACCCCAACCGACCCCAACCGACCCCAACCGACCCCAAC